AGAATAAAATCTCCTAAAATTTAGATGATTCCGCTTGTTCTGAAATTACTTTTATTTTTTATGATACAGATTTCACTCTCGAGGAAGACGCATGCGCTTGCGATTTCACGAAGCGGACACTCTCCCCCGCGTATTTTTGTGTCACGTTGGAAAAACACGCGACCGCCCGGGTAATTCAATCAAACGTCAAGCATTACACGTCGCGGTGATCTGTTGGCTCGGATAGCCACCCCGAATCGAATTTCATTCTCGTGCGACCGCGAGCTCGCCGCGTCTCGCGTTACAAAACACATTTGCGTGCGCGGTGCTACAAATTAATTGAGATTTGTTTAGGGATATCGGCCCATTTCCGGCGAACGAGTTCGAGAGCAATTTCGAGAGACGCGAGCGCGTTTAGTCCCGCCGCTCGCGCAGTTGATTTATCGCGGGAGAAAAGGGCGGCGCGAATGAAAGAAAAGGGTGGCTTTTCGACGAGAGAACGAGGCACTTCTGTCAATTACTACCCGTCGCGTAGGTGGAACGGTGAAAACACGCTTTATCCCTGGCAGCTCGAATGCGACGGATAGATGTCACGTCATCGCCACCCTCGGAGCGATTACGGGGCAAACGGCGTCCCGTCGACGTGGAAACCACCCTCGACAGCGCGTTCTCGATTCAACCGCATCGTCATTAAGTTACCGTCAATTAGGACCGATGCCAGCCGAGCGCATTCACTATGAAAAAGCTCGCGTGTGCCGGCTGAAGAAAATCGGAAATGCCATTCGTCATTCGTCTTCCCCATCGAGAGACAGGAAGACAGGAGAGAGACAGAGAGAGAGAGAGAGAGAGAGAGAGAGAGAGAGAGAGGGCGCGCGCGAGAAAGAGAGAGACAAAGAGAGAAAGAGAAAGAGAGCTTTATTTGCTTTCCCGAGACTCTATTTCCGCGCGCGAAAGTTTCGCCGAATGGAATCCGCGCGTATAAAATGTTTCGTTCCGATGAAACACCATGGATTCCGCGCGAAGGAGAGCCACGCTGATTTACGGTAATGAGTCCTTTTTTCCTCGCCAAGACAGCAGGAATGTTAACGCGCTAACGGCCGGGTGGTGCACCGCGGGGCCGCAGGAATAAACTCCTTGCGCACTTTCGAGTCATAATCCACGCCGCCGTGGCCGCCGCGGCGTGCCGCGCGCGGCCGGCGATGAGTAATCGCTCGCGTGATACGCTCGAAATCAAAATAAATCGTCCGCCGTAAAACTGAGCCACTTTGCGTAATTAAAGGGAAAGGCCCGAGCGGGGGCCGACACGTGAAATGATCTACGCGCTCTTCGAGAGGCCTGATATCGGTAACCCGTCGGCGCGGGAGGGAGGGAGGGGACCGCAGGGAGTGCCGTGACACCCGCGCGACCCCCCCCTCCCTCTGCGGTGTCCGTTTGTTTCGCTCGCGGTGGCGCGTCGCGCGAGTTTGCGCTCGCGGGGCTGACTTACGTGGGGAAAAAATAATAAATACCGCACGATCTCTCTCTCTCTCTCTCTCCCTCCCTCCCTCCTTCTTTCTTTCGCTCTCTTTCTCTCTTGCTGCCGCGCGGCTCGCAACGGGGGTACGATATGCAGGTGTCACGCCACCGCGTCGACCCCCCGTCGCGACGATTACGACGATTACCGGAGAGCCGACGGTGCTCGCACAGAGGGTGGAGTCGCCTTTCCGTTGACACCGCATCACGAAGCACTAACCAGGTTATTTATGCCACCTCGTAAAACTTGTGGCGTGCCAGAACACAGTACTCGCGGCTGCCGTTCCGTCGTCCGCCAATCCTCCCGCCCCTCCCTCCTAGCCGTTCGGCGGCCAATCTCGAATGACAGAGCGCGGGGGTGATTAGGTCGCGCTGCCGTGCCGTTCCAGGATGGCGCGCGCGACCGGCCCGGGGGGCGGATGAGGGGGGGAGGGGGGAGCGGAAGGCGAGGACTCTTGTGTGTCGGTGGCGCGCGACGCGGGCTTAAAAGTTACGAGATGGGCGGCCAGTAAATACGGAATAGACCGACGCGCGGGATTTCGCGGTGATATATCGCGTAGCCTCTCTCGATGCTTCGCGTAAAGTATATATATGCGTGTGCGTGTGCACTCGTGGATCTATAACGTTAATACGCGCAATCGTATGCGAGCGCGCGCGCGAAGGGACCGCGAGTCTCGCGTTTCCATGAGTTACGGCGGTCGCGGTTGTTTTTATTACGTGCCGGCATATCGTCCGGCGAACGATAACCGGAATACTTTTCCGAACAGGAGGTCGGTTTCGTGGCGGAGGGGGAGAGCGAAGGCGCCGGAGGGAAGTCCGCGTTGAAGCATGAGCGTAGATAACGCTTCTTAACGATTTCTTCCTCCTGGCAAAGTGAGCATGTTCTCGATACAGAGCAGCGCGATTCGCGATCGTAATGTACACGTGAGATATATTATATTTGCAATGAGTTGTGTTATCGGCGTAAAGACTCGCCTCGCGCGCGGCGCGAGGAGGTTTAAAGACGGCTTTAAAGCGGATATTTCCTAACGGCACAGGGGCTCCCCTGTCGGCTCTCGGAACGTATTGTTTAGCGGAACGTTTCGCTGCGCGCGGGGAATTTTAACATTTGTCTAGCAAGACCGTATCGTACCAGTTTACCACCGGCTGGGATATGTTGTTCGAAAAAGGGTAAAAAGCGTAAAAAAGTATTTCACGACAGAAATTTTCGTGTTATAAACCCGGTTAGAGACAGATATATGTATTAGGTGTACGGCAAATGAATAATCCAAATTTTTCAGCTGAAAATTCATGGTTTATTTTAAAAAAAAGTCAAACAAATTTGTCAGTTAAAGTATTCATCGTTGTTTTCTATAACTTTATGCCATATTTCAGGCAGCTGATGAATTCCATGTCGGAAAAATGTTGTATTTTTGAACACGATAAAGTCGTCAAGCCATTTTCGGATTTCATCCATTGATTTAAAGTGCGTATCGGACAAGGCATATTGCATCGACCGGAACAAGTGGTAATCGGTAGGATGTCTGGTGAATATCCCGGGTGCTGCAAGACGTCCCAACCAAGACTTATTATGATGTCTTTTGTCGTAGAAGCAATGTGCGGCTTAGGGCCGGTTTTTCAATAATGGTTTAAACTTAGGTCGAAGTTTAAACTCTGTTCAAAAGCATTAAACTGTTTTCAATAGATAGATCAGAATAAAACGTAGTTTAAAGTATAGTTTAACTAAACTGTGAATGATAATCGTTTAAACGTTTAATGGATTCATAAACATCGTCACACACACACACACACACACACACAATACAGTGTCTCTATTATTATTTTTAAAAGCATATTGCTAAATATTTCTAAAAGTATAAAATATTTATTACGACATTTGATGAAGAATATTACGAAGAGAGTAGTGAAGATGAGAATGTTTTCGGCTATACAGAATGTCCCATTTTAAAGTTTGCACTCAAATATCTCAGAAACAGCGTTAAATCGGAAAATATTTCAGACAAAAGTTATTTGGTTTGAAGAAGGACATAAAACAGCCATAGGATTTTGTTTATAGATGGCGCCATTTTCGAGATATTCACTGATCATCGATTTTCTTAAATGAAAATGAAAATCCCAATTTTTTATTATATTATCTTTTTCCGCCAATTAATTTGAACAACTTTTGTCTGAAACATTTCTTTATTTGTCTAATATTTTTTGAGATATTTAAGGAAAACTTGGTAACTTTTTCAACATTTAACTTATGATATCTCGCTAATTATTTGTCGAAAGAACGTTGCGTTATCATGCAACAATTTTACAGGACGTTCTTTTTTGTCACTATATGAGCATTTCGTTCTAATTCTTGACTCAAACGGATTAATTAGTATTGGTAGCAGTCCGCAATAATTGTTTCATACAATTTTAATAGCTCATGATAAATCATACCTTACATATCCCACCAAACGCAGAACAGAATCTTTTTTCCGAAGTGTTTTGGCTTTGTGACAAATGTTGATGATTCGCCGGGATTTACTCATGACTTTTTGCGTTTCGAATTGTCATAGAATATCCACATCGCCCGTAATAATTTTCCACAAAAAAGGCTCTTTACGCTGCTTATCGAGAAGAGAAAGACACACTGCCACTCGTTGATTTTTGTTGGGCTCATTGAGTTCATGCGGAACTTATTTTCTTTCTTTCTGAATCTTCCCCATCTCGTGTAGGAGTTTGGAAATAATTTGTTGCGTTACTCCTAACTGCTCTGCAAACTTTTTTATGCGTTGGTACTGAATTCTCAGCGAACAATTGCTCCAAATCATTATTGCCGCACTTTCGGGGGCCTCCAGGACGTTCTTTGTCACTCAGACTAAAATCGCTGCTTTTCAACCGTCTAAATCAAAATGCACACACATCGTATGACACAACAACTTCGCCGAGAAAGGAACAAATCGATTCACATGCTCTTGCAACATTTTTTCCTTGTTGAAATTCGTAAAGAACGGAGTATTGGATATGTACCTTATCTGCTGCCATTTTTGACTGTACTGGACTGAATAATTTTTGAGGTTATGTTGAGCCTTCCGCTATACTAAATATAATTCTTAATAGCTATATGTCAACATTACATTATCGTAAAGGAGCAGGAAAATTTAATTATGTGAAACTTAATTTTTTAGCTGCTTAAAAAGTTTGGATTATTCATTTGTACACCTAATCAATTTGTCGGAAACTTCTTGCAAGAAGATTTGCAAAAATTGCATCTCCTATGAATGACTCATGCGACACTTGTATTTATCTCACGCTATATCGATTGACGAAATAGGAGTACAAGGAAACAAAATGGCAGAGGGAGATACGAGAGGAACGATGATGAATGACGGAGTTACTCAACGAGAGTCTCTTCCGTGCGTCGGCTTACAGCGCGACGAAGATGGCCGCGCTTGTATGTTTATCTCCCATCTCGTCGCGACCCTTGTCCATCAAACGGCGAAGTTTTGCGAAGCGCGTCTCTGTTCCTCTTTCAGCTATCGTACTCCATGGAGCTGGATTATGACGTGGTGGGCGTACCAGGTGGACCGTCTTCTGGAGTGATGGCGTTGCTGCCGCCGAGGGTGAACGTATCCGCTAGGGGTGAGGTTCCAGTCACCCTGCAAGTATTCAGGATCAGATTGCCGTGCTCGGGCGTCGTTAGCGCCGAAATTCCTCTGGCGCTGAGATTGAATGTCACCGCGCCGCCTGGCACCAAATACAACGACACCGTCTTGGTCTTCAAGAGGAACAAAATTTGCCTCAAAGGTGCGTGCCATGCGTGTGTGTGTGTGTGTGTGTTGTGACGATTGTGCGTGCGTGCTTGCGCACGCGTGGTTAGAGCCGGCGCGGCGGCGGCACTATGCTAATTTGGAAAAACGTCGAATAGGGTTAACCTCGCTTTATTATTCGCGCACGTGAGAGAAAGCCGTACGCCGCCTGTTTTATTATTCTCGCGCATGAGAATCAGCGCAGTCTAAAAATCTGCGATTTTCGTGGCAGTCGAGTATTAAGCAAGAACTAGATCCGGACTGGATATTTCTTCCTTTTTCCTCTCTCTCTCTCTCTCTCTCTCTCTCTCTCTTTTACTCCTTTTTTTTTGTTATGGAACGCAGGGGGCGCCTTTTCTTCTTCCGCTTGTTTTATTCAGCGCCCCTGAAAATATCATGACCGTGCGCCCGCCGTTTGTCTCACTTAAAATATGAAAACGTTAATGCGTAAATTATTTAACTCTTCCGCTCGACGGCGCTTTACGGACACGCGACGAAAATTGCAGTTTCTCTCCGAGCTTGGTTAAATTCTAAACCCTAAACGACACTCATTCGATTCTCTTGCATCGGGATTTATCCAAATGCAATAAATTGATAAATTTGATCACGACGTTTGTGCATAAATTAATTAGATTTTTATTAATTCGTAAATAGTACACCGACGATTCGCAAAAATCTCACGAACCAACGCAGTCTTGGACTAAATCGTAATAAGCACTTGAACGCTGGCGCGATCGAAGGGTATTGCAAAAACATATTGCAATATCGAGAAGTGCAATATATTTTGCACTTTTCGATATTAAATTGCAATATTCTTTTATATTATTATAACCATCGCAGCCGAGAGAGACGATCGTTCTCATTGAGAACGGCATAGTCTCAGTTTTTGAGTGCAATTTAGTCCGTGTGGCTACGACAATCTCGCACGCAGACATGGGGGAGCGGCGGCGAGTCCTTTGACCGGGTCCATGGCCCGCCTACAATGTTGCATACCGCTCCTTTGAGTCGAGCGCCGACAGGTGCGAAATCCGAGGTGGGAGAGCACTACAATGTGTATTCGCGCGCGCGTCAAAGGACGTGCGTCGCCAATTGGCGCGACTTTCGAACTTTTTCCCGCATTTCGGCGAAAAATCGACGTACAAATGTGAAACAAACGCCGTTCTTCTCGTTCTTCGGTTCTGCACACTGCTTGCGTTCACGTTCGTCGCGTCATTACACGAGCACGATTGCGCCACGAGGCATGTGAGGTATGTCGTTGCAAAAAAAAGACTGTTAGTATAAGACAGGGGTTCCCAACCGGGGGTGCGAATAAATATTCTTGGGGATGCGAGGAAAAGTGATTGTATTATTTAATAATGATTAAGATGAATTCTAGAATAATCCGGTACTTTTACTATTAAATTAAAAACATGTTATTAAAATTATATATTTTTTACGTATCTGTACATATATTTATATTCATTACGTATTATTATGCAAAGCTTGATACCATGGATAATAATTTCATAATATTAAAATGATAGTTAATTTCTATAAAACAATACTATGTAATAATAAATTGTTATAAATTAATTTCCTACCTTAAAACCCTAACAATTAATTTTTACTATAAAACATATAAATAATTTTTTTTGTAAGGAGTGCGAAGATTCATCAATAAATTTTTAGGGGTGCGAAATACAAAAAAGGTTGAGAAACCCTGTTGTAACTATACTTCTTTTCTGGTTGTAACGCGTCGTGTTACTTTTATGTAATTAAATTGCCCTTCAGAATGCTTTTATTGAGTAATTAAAATTTCAATTAATTTTAAAGAAATAAATCAGTATTAAAATTGAGGGTAATTTAAAGAAAAGAAAACCAATTGGTTATGATCGGTATGATCGTCTTTATAAATACCTCCGGTATTTATGAACACAGATCGCCTCGTATTTAGATTCAATTGCCCTTTAAAAAATAAAATTGCCCTTTCGTATACCTCCGGTACTTCCTCACCAGATAGCGTCGTCTCACAAGTCTTCGCCAAGCCGGTGTAGTATTTTTCGAGAAATTTGGGAACTTGTTATCCACCTCTTTTTTGGACACACTCCTCAATACTCCGTACGATTAAATATAGTAATTTTATCACTTTGCATTTCGAAAAAAGTTATCAACATCCAAATAAGTCTAATGACTTGACCATCTCACCCCAGTAAGGAGGGTCCTCGACATTCTATTCCAGTGAGTTTGAGATAATTCGAATATCTAACCTCCGAAGAGGATCCTCGGCATTCTATTCGAGCGAATTTGATAACTGAACTACCTTATTTCCAAACAGAATCCTCGTCACTCTATACGAATGAGTTTTGATGAATCAACCATCTTACTTCCAAAACAATCTTCGCCACTCTGTATGAATGAATTTTGATAACTTAACCACCTCACCTCCAAAGAGGATCCTCGCTACTCTATATGAATGAGTCTTAATGACTCAACTACCTAACCTCCAAAGAGGATTTTCACCACTCTATACGAATGAGTTTTGAAGAGTCAATCCCCTCACTTCCAAGGAGAATCCTCATCACTCTATACGAATGAGTTTTGATAACTCAACCATCTTACCTCTAAAAAAGATCTTCGCCACTTTATACGAATGAGTTTTGATAACTCAACCACCTCACTTTCAAAGAGGATTCTCGGCACTCTATATGAATGAATTTTGATAACTCAATCACCTCACCTTCAAAGAGGACTCGCGCCACTTTATACGAATGAGTTTTGATGACTCATCTCCACTTCATCTCCAAAGAGGATCCTCGTCACACTATACTCGTCTATTTCGTCCCTAGAAGGGGATCATCAGCACTCTTTCGAATGAATATAATAACTTATAAGCACTTTGCACCGTATAGATAAAAATCAACACAAATTAACACTCTATTTAATCGTAAATGAGAAATCGACTTCTAAATACAATTTTTTACGTCCAACTCGTTCAACAAACATCGAGTATTGATCAAACACCGTTATTTCTCTGTCGTTATCAACGTTCAAAATTGTCGCCACCTTATTCCCTCTCTCTTTCAATCTGTATGGAAAGTGGCACCATCGAAACGCGCCCAGCGTGAGCTTCCGCGACGATTCGATCGTCGCGTTATCAACAGTCAGAAATATTCAGACGAGAAAATGAAACACTTTAAAAATTTTCAACGTACAGACTACGAAATTTCGATCGGCAAATTTTTAGGTTGCCGAGACACTTCTCAGCAGTCACTCTCTGCGAAAGATCGATCGAAATGCGAGTGATTTTCAAACATGAATGTCGGTCGTCGCGCGCGATCTCAGGAGGAAGAATGAAACATTTCTTGGAGAGTCGGTCTGTTTAAACACGATAACGCTTTTCTGTCAGCGCGAAGCGCGCCGTCGCAACGATCGAAACGATCGCATTTTGCGTACAATGGATTCGCGGATTTTCGCGCGTAATGTTGGGTGTATTCAGTCGTGATATCGTTCCGCGGCGAATTGTACGGCGGAGAATGCATTATGAGGATCGTATCCAGAGGGTTAATGCCATTCGAGCTTTGTAACACGCATGCTCCTCGCACGTTCGCATGCTGCGGTGCACGTTTCGCGTTTAAAGCACGTTCGCTCCCTCTGTACTCGCATCAGCGCCATCGCAGTCCGTTGATAATTATTTCGTTTACATAATCTCGGATTTAATTAGCACGTTCGCAAGCGCGGCTAAATACCTTCGTTACAGTGAGACAGTTTCGACGCGGTCGCGATTGAAACAGAAGCACGCATTCATCTCGCGTCGCGCGCAAACTCAATTTATCCGCGCGATTTATGCCGGCGGATCGGCCAGCTCCGATAACTTTGACGTCGCGATGTCGCGGTGCTTTTATTTCTTTCTCTCTCTCTCTATCTCCTTCTGCCCCGCTTTTTCGCGAAAAAGGACCAGTCAGAGTTCCTTTCGGATCGCGAACGCACACGGAGCGTTGTTTCAATTCGGAAACGAACGCGTTCATTCCGTGCAAATACACGGCGCTACACGCGCCGTTGATTATAATTTTGCGGTATTAATTTAATTTACAACGCGGCGGTGACAAAGGCGGCTCGAAATACATACGTCGTCTTTGGGACTTCCGCTGAATAAATAGCGCCGAATTATAAATATAATGCGGGGAGAGTAATACGCGGGGTGGCGCGCGTGCGCGTAGTCGCTTAAGTAATAATATTTAGATAATGAAATTATATATACACGCGCAGTGTTTACATAACGAGTGGGAATGTTATAACGGACGCTCGAGAGGGCGGGCAAGAGGGAGAGCGCAAGAGAAGTTACAAACGTAATCTCCGTGCCACTTCCGACGAGGGTGCTTGTAAGCGTATACGAAAGGTACTTCACACAGGGCGGTTCACTCGACTCCGCAAACTTCGTGCGACCTCGAAAACGCGTGTTTTCTGAAAAAACAAGCCACGGCGACGATGAATGCAATCTGGCAAATAGCTCCGATTTTCGTCGTCCCCTCTCGTCGCGCCGTAATAGCCTGCCGATGCTTCACGGAGATTTTGCGCAACTGTTACGAACTTTGCGCGCGCGGCCGCGGCCATTCGCTTAAATAAATGTTGCGCGCGCGCGTGCGCGAAATAAACGGCGCGGTGGAGTTGTATCTCTTTTCAAAGTTGAGAAGGGAGGATTTAGCGGCGCGCCGCTTTGGGAGAAAATAGTTTTGTACCTCATTTATAAAAGAAGATAAGAGTGAGCGGAAGCTGGAGCAAGCGAGTGAGAGGGAGGAGGAGTGGTTTTGTCGCATTCCGAAAGAGGGACGAGATGAACCAAGTGCGTCCCAATATTGAATTCGTCCTTGCGCTCTTGACCAACAATTTTGTCGCGACACATTTTGTGCCGTCCTTTAATCCTTTAACGCCCGATTTTTATAACTGTTTTAAGAATAAAATTTGAGTTTTTTTGAACTGAGACTATAAGTAGTGATAACCAAAAGAAATATCAGAATTTTA